CTAAGTGAGTGGATGGCCACAGAGGCTAAGTAAAGTGTACCAAGTTGCACAGGAAGTTAGTAGCAAAGCTCAGAACTGATGGCTTCGTCTTCAGTGCTCCCTACAGGGACTACAGTGGCTTCTCACCTTCACTCTGATGAATCAGAACCACCCTGGAAATAGGAGACAAGTGGCTTATTTGTTGAAAAGACCTAACTTTATGTGTTTAGCTTTCGAAGAACCAAATATGGAAGACAAGGAAACACAAAAAGCTGAAACTCAATGCAATCAGTCCATTACTATTCAGTCACTGTGACAGTTACATACTCTCCTGTCAACTTGTGAAGGGGTGGAGTCTAGCCTTTCAATCAGGTCATAGCCAATAATGCCTCTGTGTGGGCATGGCCTTCTCCTGAGGATTCTGGGAACTCCTTTCTTCCTCCCTGGAGATGGGATGCACATTCTCTCTCCCTGCGAGACATTCCCGTTGACAAGACACATGGAGCTATGCTGATGGAGCCAGAGCCCTGGAACTGGAGGAGCCATGTGGAGACCCACACCAGTGCTAAGATGCTTCCACTACCACTGAATCCACAAGACTTCCCACCCACTAGTCTGTGATCTTCCTGCATTCAGCGTCATTGCATATGTTGTGTGTCTGAAGAGGAATTTATGGACTGGTATGGGACATATGGACTAGTACCGGACTTATGGACTGGGCTGGGATGTTTTCTTACTATACAATTACTCTTTGATATAAAGTTCTCTTTTACACGCATATGAGTGTCTAGGAATTTATTTCTCTACTCAACCCAGACTAACACAGTCACCCTAAAGGGCAGAGTAGAACTTCCCTCTTTGTGTTTCTAAGGCTGTAAATGTTTACAGGTGTAGACAACCTCATCATTCTTCCACAGAGCAACTAGCAGGCTCTAATTGATGGCCACGGTTAGATTTGTAACCAACAGGAGTCCTTCGTCAACAAAAAGGTTTCCTTAAAGGAAGAAAAACAAAGGGCGTGGGTGTCAAGGTTTTACAGAGCCATGCGTAATCATTAGCTGAGTTTAACAACAAATTCAAACCAACTCACTGGCATTGGGATAATTCTGGCTCATAGCTACCCCATAGGACAGGGTAGAACTGCCCCTACTGGGCTTCCCAGACTGTAACTCTTTACAGGAGTGGAAAGTCTCATCTTTCTCCCATGGAGTGGTCGACCTTGTGGTTAGCAGCCCAGTGCCTGGTCCAGCACACTGCTCCCAGGCTATGAACACAGCTATTAGTTTATACTAGATGTTCGCATACTCACAAGTGTAAGTGTTAACTATTCTAGTAAAGAATGCAGTAACTGATGCTGCTAATTTAACTTCCTACCAAAACAAAGTGCAATGAACGCCTGGTACTGGATTACAGGCTGCGGCGGCTCCTAGCTGGTTATTGCAAGCGAACTATGTAGGAATTGAGCGTCTGAAAGGAAATGCTCAAGATCTGTGGAAGGGACGATGGAAAAGCAAATCTGCAGCCCCACAGGCATGTCATCTGTGGAACTTGCCGGGACTCCCCTGCTGGCTCCATATACACCGTCATACAAACTGGGACAAAATAAAAATCTAGCCCTCTAGTCTGGCCTTCCACATGGGACTCTTTTGAAAGTCTAGTGAGAGAACACGGGTTTAAAACGGATGACTCCCACTTGTTTCCCTTTTCTTTCTTTCTCCCCCGGCCCCCAACATTTTACTGTCCTTTAGGTGAAGCTTTAGGAGCCCCAGCGGTTTACATGTTAGAGTGGTTGCATATTGGGCTGCCATACTAAAGGTGAGCAGTTCAATACCACCAGCCACTCCATGCGAGAAAGATGAAACTTTCAACTCCTGCAAACAGTTAGTCTTGGAAACTCACAAGGGCAATTCTACCCTGTCCTACAGAGTCACTATGAGCCAGTATCAACTTGATAGCAGTGAGTTTTAGGTGAAACTTCACAGAGGAAATTCATGTCCCAATCAACAACTCATACACAAATTGCTTTGTGACATTGGGAGCTACCCGTTTCACCACACCTGCTCATTGTCACCATCCTGTTCCCCTGCTCCTTCTCGTCTTTTCTTCTTGCTTCTGGGCAAATGCTTCCATTCGGTCTTGTATCTCCGATCACTCTAAAATGCGTATTTCTTCCAGGTGTTGTTGTTTATGTTATAGACCAATTTATTATTTGATTGGAAGGTAGCCTTTGAGAGTGGCTTCAGTTCCAGGCTAAAAGGCTGTCTTACTGGAATAATATTGAGGGTCTCTGTAATCTCTATCCATTCAGGAGTCTGGCCTTTTTTATGAGTCTGTGTCCTGTTTTATGCTTCAATCCCATTCTGAGTGGGCCCTGTTATAGTGTTCCTGGTCAGAGCTATTGGTAGTGGTAGCCAGGCACCATCTAGTTCTAAGGTTAGAGGACGATACTAGACTAAGGTTAGAGGACGATACTTGCTCTCTTGAGTCTTCGGTTTGCTTCACTCTAGGCAAAAGGAGACTATAGTGTATCTTAGTCACTCACAAACCTTTAAGGAGCCTGGTACTACTCACCAAACTAGGATGTAGAACATTATCTTTACAAACTATGTTATGCCAATCCACCCAGCTGTCAGCTGAGCCTTCAAACTCCAAATCATTAGGAGTTTGGTTATGTCTAGGAAGTTGCGTAACTATGCCCGTTATGTGCCTTATGCAGGAACTTCAAAAAGTTTGTGGGAAAAATTAGAATTAAAAGTTCATGGAAATTTTCCATGAATTTTTTGAAATCCCCTGTGTATGTATTTAAATGCAGCTTGTAGAAATATGTATATACAAATGTCCACAACTATGCCTATGCTCACTTATTTTCCATTAAAAATTCCTTGTCAGGAAACTCCAGGCTTAGGAGTAAAGTGATACCTCTCTTAGTTTGGCACAAGGAAAAAAAAAATCCAAGTTGAACTGGCTTAAAGGAAAGATAGAGAGAGAGAGATAACTCTCTTTCTGTTCAAGGAAGTCAAGGGCATGTTAGACAATAAAATGTTCTAATGGAACCCACAAGCATCAATCTCCACAACCTTGAGACCAGAAAAACCAGATGCTGCCCAGCTATCACTGTCCACTGCTCTAAAAAAGGATCATAGTAGAAGGCCCTGGATAAAGTGGGGGCGGGGGAGGGGAGGGGTGAAGGGGGAGGGGTTTGATCAAAACTCAAAACCATAAAAAGAGACCAGGCTTACTGGTTGGAAAACAGACAAGTGGGACCCCTAAGACTATGGCCCTTAGTCGTCCTTCAGGTGTGGAACTGAATCTATCTTTGTGATAAAATAACCAACCAGGTCAGATCAAAAGGGTAGCATTTACCCAAAGACAATGTACAGAGGGTTAGGAAAGGAGGAGGCATGGAAATAGGCAACCCAGTTATAGTACATGGAGTGCAATGCATCCATTGAAAGAAGATGTGTATGAATTGTTGAATGCAAAACTGAGAATCTGCTCTATAAACTTTCACTTAATTCATCCTAAAACATTTGTGTTTGTTTGCTTGAACTGTAAGGAAGGGCAGGAATGCAGTTAGAGCTCAGAATCAGAGTGAGGGGCTTGAGTGCAGACCCTCATTTCTACCTCTTGCATGAAATCTCAACTTCTCCTTCTGAAATTAGGCCTGCTCCTGTAGGCCAAATATATAGGTGCTGCCAGCTTACAGCTAATAGCTGCCACCTTTAGAGAAGATGCACAGAAGTCCCGAGAGGGAGACCTACCCTGGAGAGAGGTAGCTGCTACCCCCGCTATAATCAGCAGTGCCCAGGGAGAGAGTCACAACTGACTCTCTGTGAAGGGTGCTGAAGCAGTTCCTAGGCAAAGGTGCCAGGCAGACAAGTCCCAGGTGGGCCTACAGCATCCACCCTCCTCTCTGTCACACATGATACAGTGCTTGTACGAAATATATGCCTGAGGAAATTATTCAAACATTCAGACTTTCATATTTCTGCTTCCAATCATCTCCAACATGGTAAATTACACTCAATATCAAACTGCCTGAGCAGAGAAAGAGGGAATGGAGGGGAAAATAGAGAAGGAGGGGGTTAAAGAAGAAAGGGGGAGGACTTCCGGAGAAGAGGGGGGAACAAGAACAGGAAGTTGCAAGTTGCAAAACTAAGATATCGTCTTTGTACTCACTTCTCTTTTTTTTTTTAAGCTATCATATACCTATTGGGACCCAGTAATTATGTGTTCCCATATCACCTTTGTGTTCTAGATTAAACATAGAGATGACAGATATGAATACTGTGTGTTTAAATATTTATGCTACCTGTGCTTGATAGAAACTGGTTGGGCATCCACCTGAAACGTTCCAAAGAATTAAGCAAAGAAGTGAAAGTTTAGAAACAACAGTGCCTACAATGACCTGAGATATGTCTTGACACATATAAATTATGCCCACCCATGGCCACCAAGTCAACTCTGACGATGGCAATCCTGAAGGGCAGAGTAGAACTGCCCCTTTGGATTTCCAAGGCTGGAAATCTTCACAGAAGCAGAAAGCTTCATCTCCCCCGACAGAGTAGCTAGTAGGTTTGAACTGCTGACCTTGCAGTCAGTAGCCCTATGAATAAGCCACTATACCACCAGGACTCCTTATCAATTTTGCAGTATTGATTTAAAGCTGAATGCTGCTTAGAATCCAAGATAGTGAAACGCTGTCCCACATACTTTGGACATGTTATCAAGAGATACTAGACTCTGGAAAAGGACACTATGCTTGTTCAAGTTCAGGGGCAGCAAAAAGGAAGAAGGTCCTCAATGAAATGGATCGATGTGGTGGCTGCCAGAAAGAGCTCAAACAGAACAGAGACCCAGAGGATGATGGGTGTTTCGTCCTGTTGTGCACGGGGATTGCTGTGAGCCAACACTGACTGGGCAGCCCCTAAAAGCAACAATGGTAAGGATTAACAACACATAGCTGCCGATGGAGTGGGAGAAAGATGAGGCTCTCTACTTCCCTCAAGAGTTACAGTTTCTTTCCCATTGACTTGCTGCTGGTGTCTGTCCGTGATATGAGCAGTTATACGCATGGGATATGGGATAAAAATATGAGACCATTGCAAATTGAAACGAAAATAATCATTTTCTCTCTTCTGCTTGGTCTGGACATTGGGGCAAAAACAGTTACAATCTCAGAAACCTACAGGGGCCTTTCTGCCCTGTCCTATACGGTGACTGTGAGTCAGCTTCAACTGCGTGGTAGTTAGTTGGGCTTTGGAGATGGGCGAATGAGACCAATGACAATACCTGTTCATTCCCAAAAGGAAAATAAGAAGCTTCCATGAGGACGAGCCCATGAAGCACTGATAGTGTCCAAATAAGACTGTCAGAAATCCATTAACAAAATTGTAAGAAATCTAAAAATAAAAAAAAATCAGAGAAGCAAGGTAGGCAAGTAGGTTGGCAGTTCTTCTAACGTACCAATTGACCAGGACAAGAATCAGATATTTTAAAACAAAAGAAGACAAATAGCAAAGGAGTAAGATAAGAATCCATACAATCCAAGAGCTCAAGCAGAAAGCAAATGTTTTGAGAATGATGAGGGCAACAAATGTACAAATGTGCTGGACACAATGGATGGATGGATGGATTGCGATAGAGTTGTATGAGTCCCCAATAAAATGATTCAAATTTTTAAAAAAGAATCCACAAACTTACACACACAGAGCTCAGCTCTTCTATAGCACTCCACCCTGGGCCCCTCTCTCTCTTCTAATGCCACATGTATTGTCAGGCTGTGTGGAGACAACGTGGAGGAAGTCACTGAATAGAAAACAACGCTGGAAAGCACTCTAGACAGGGGCTGAGCCATGGCAAATATGGCCCTGTGTGAACCGCGTCCCTGTCCGAATACCTGACACCCATCTTCAGTAGTTAGCATCACTGTGCTTGGTAAGTAACCCAACCCTACAACCAAAATTCTGCCTCAGGGCCCCAATGCTATATTTTCATGGGAAAAAAAGAAAGCCAAAACCAACTCACAGCCACAGAGCCGATTCTGTTGCACAGCGAGCCTGTAGGACGGAGTAGAGCCGCCCCTGTGGATTTCTGAGGCTGACTGTCCAGGAGCTGTCTCTCCCACCAAGCGGCTGGGGGTTTTGAACCACCAGCTTTGTGTTTTGCAGGTTGTATAATCAGTACACAACCAAGGTGCCCCTTCCAATGGGGAGGGGAGGGGAGGTGGGTCCTGAGCTCGAACCCTGCTTCTCTCCCCATCACCTTGGTCCTTCTCCTACTTCAAGTAACTTTTCTCCCATTTTAATAGGTCACATTAGCAGAACATAGTCCCTAATGTCTAGAAACTTTACAAGGAAACAGAGTGTCTGACTAGTAGGTGGGTGGTTGAGAGGCCTGACCTTACCTGCAAGGTGCTGGGGTGTGGCGATCGCCCTGGGGACTGGGAACAGGGGAGAGAGGAGCGTGGGCTGGGTGGAAGAAGGAAGCTCTGGGGTCAGAAAAGGGCTCCCGAGACTAAAATTTTAGTCTAAACTTGCTGAAGGCTCTCGCACCCTGGCGATGGAAAATGGGATGGCTCCCAGAAACTGCCAGGGGCGTCCACTTCAAGTGATGTCCAGGGTGCGTGCCATACTTGCCACACCTGAGACACACTTCTAACTGGGTACCAACGACTGCAGCCAGCACTGTTTGGAAGGGCAACAGAGATTCACCCAGCTTCCTCTTGACTTCTTCTGTCAGCCAAGCCTGTGAGAGACTAGAGTGGGCCAATCAGAAGGATGCCGTCTTCTGGGAAGCAGAGGAGAAGGGGACCTGGGGAAGTGCACACACCCTGCCATCCACCAAAGGTCACTGGAGAGACCCTTTCCAGAAGAGGCGAGTGGCGCATGGTTTAACAAATAATAGACGTCCCTGCCCACCAAGAGGAGGATTCCCCGGCCAAATTTTGCAACAGGAAGGCTGGTCCAGGGTAGGAAACATTGTTCAGGTCATTGATGGGCCCATGGTTTTGTTTTCTCCCATGGGTTCTGATACCCCCACAGCCACATGTACAGAATGGGAGGCAATGACCCACTCGTAAGTGGTGCCCTACACTCCCCATCAGACACATCTCGCTGCAAATCAAATGTTCTGTGCATTTACCAGGAGCAGGCTCCTTCAGCATCTCCTCTCTTCCCAGAAACACTCATGTGAGGCAGGTGTCACTGTGTACTTGTGTGTTTGTTGACAAATGAGAAAACAAGTAAGCCTGTTCAAGGCCATGCAGCTGGTAAGCATTTGAAGTAAAGTGCAGGCTCAGATTTTCCAACCATGAAGGGCCTCAGCTTTCTACCAAGCCAACTTGTTCCTCACTGGAGAGAACATTTCTGAATGCTGCCTAATTTTACTGAGGGAGCAAACACCTACCTATGGTCATGAAAGGTCCTGCCGAGAAAGATAATAAACAGGCATTCATTTCCCAGCATCATACACAGCAGCACAAATGAGTTTCCATATCTTTGTATTAAGTCAAGGGAGGAAAGTGGTACCCTCGGGAGGAAAATATGAATGATACTAAAAGAACGCAGCAACCTCAATAAATCCAGCCTTTAATATTGCGATGTGATCTCTGGAGTGGTGAGACTGGTTCTGATAACCTTACACAGTTCTTTGTGGAACTTGTTAAATCATAAAAGCATCTCTTGCTTCTGGAACATAAAACAATGTCTTTTTATGCAAACACAACCTTGGGGAAGCAGCAGATAACCGCAGATCTTCTCAAGAGAGTTTCTTCTGTCACACTAGGAGCTACTCCCCCACTTACCGATATTTTTACATATTTGTAGAGCGGCTTCTCCCCCATAAATATTAGATGCAAATCAGAATGTAGACACTGAGAGCTCACTCAGCTCTCCTCTAATAACCCGCGGAAAATCCACCACTGGCCTCACACGAGTAGCCATAATCAAAGTTCTAAAGATGGATAGTTTGTGCTGGAAGGTAAGTTAAAACTTAGCATCCATTTATTGAGATTCATTAATATTAATATGTATTGAACTATACCTTCCTAAGAGGATTTTCTTGAACAGACAATTTCCAAACATACTATCACACAGAGCATAAAATAAAAGTATTCGTTTCTTCTTTTAATAATTATTGTGTAACATGAATAAGCATAGGCACTGTGGAGATACAAATATGTAAATAAGCCTTCCCAAAACTTATAATGTCATTATCAAGAAAAAAATATGCATACATGAAAGTTAAATATCTATTATAAAGTTAAACAATAGGAAGACAGCAACACAGGATGTTGTAAAAGAATATGGTGGTATGCCAGGTGAGCTGTATACAAAGTCAATGGTGAGGAGTCAGCTGGGTTGATGAGTAATGAAGAAAGACATCACTGATGGAGAAGGGGGCAACTGGGTAAGGACGTGGCAAAGGGAGGAAAAGAGAGTATTGTTTTTTAAAAAAAACATTTTTATGTAAGAGTCCCCAATAAAAGTAAGAAAAAATGTTTATGTTTTCTCTATACATTGTAAGTTTGTGAGGACTTATTTATATATTTGCATCTTCACAATACCTATTGTGGCAAGAAGAGAGCAAATTAGAACAAAATGTTTACGTAGTGATGCAGACTATACCATGACTGTCCATTAATGACCAATAAGCACAGAATCTACTTTTCAGTAACCAACGGAGCACACAGTATTCACCTACTCATAACTTAAGGGATTGGGCCACAGGTCCCCAGATCCTAATTTCCAGCCAGAACAACAAACTTGCCAAAGCTAAGAGCTGTACAACTCCCTTGTAAAAACAAAACATAATATGTAACTGCAGTGAAAAAAGCCATAAAGCTTAGGATGCAACATTCCACGGGACCCTTTAAAGACCCCAAAGGCATTGATCTCTCCATCATGGAAACATCGTGAAACACAGCAGTGTATACTCTCTAGTAAAAGAGAATCAGGGCAGGAAGTGAAGGTCCAGGTCATGAAGTAAGTGCAGTGCAAGCAGTATGTTTGGCCTGACAGTCAAGGGAAGGAGCAACAGGAGTCATCAGAATGACTGTATCCAAATTGCTACCGCTGAGAGGAATGCAGACCGTTTAGAGTAGGAAGCAGGGAGATCCTCCTCCATCCACGATTTCTTTTGAAGCTGGCACCAGTCAATGACTGAAGTCCTAAGTCAGGTGAAGTGTGCATGTGGAGAGATTAAGAGTTTGCAACCATTTTATGATAACAGAAGATAGGAAGAACTCTGAGGAAGGACAAAAATAAACAAAACAATGATCTTCATGAAACATCTGAGTCAGGAAATCTCATCTAGAAAAAGTCTAACAGAAAAGATTTTACGTTTCAAGGGTCACACGACTTCACAACTACTCAATTAGTATGAAAGTAGCCATCGATAAGTAATCAACAAATAAGTATCCCTGTACCCCAATACGGAGAAAGAGGGCTTTCTACTCCCATAAAGAGTTCCAGTCTTGGAACCCCACAGGGACAGTTCTACCTGGTCCTGTAGGGTCGCGATGAGTCAGCATCTGGCATCCACTCAATGACAGTGAGTTTGGGTTTTGTTTTTGTGTCCCAATAAAACTTTACTTTCAAACAGGTGAAAACACTCATTCCTGGTTAAAAACTCTCAGCCAGTGAGGACTACCTCAACTCAATGAAAACACCTGCTTTTACCAAATGCTACCTATAGGTAACATTATACTGAATAGTAAAAGACTGAATACTTTCCTTCTATTATCAGGAACAAGGCAAGGAGGTCTACTCGCTCACTCTAATCTACCATAGTACTGGATGTCCCAGACACGGCAATAAAGAGGGCAAAGGAAATACAAGGTGTGCATACTAGAAAGGAAGAAACACAACTCTATTGACGGACAACCTGCTGTCTAGCGGGGTGGGGGGGGAGTAAATGTCAGTGAATTAGGAAAAACAAACAAACTCCTACAACTCAAAAAGGGGAAGTTCAGCAAGGCCTGATGAATCTACAAAACCAAATCCTATTTCTGTAGACTGCAATGAACATGAACATGTGGAAACAGAAATCACAAACACCACGCCCTTTACAATCACACCAGAGAAAACAAAATATTTAGGTATATGAACCTAACAAACGTGTACAAAACTATACACTAAAAATATATATAATTCTAG